TACATGTTCTTACAGATAGTGCATACAGAACAAGTTCTAACGCGTCGATCCTGTTACGTTTGATGAAAACTATGTTATATCGAACAGAAGTTACGGTGTGGCCTCAGCTACTGAGAATACCAGTTTAAAGGAAACAAAATTTGGTAGACCGTTAGAAGACAGTTCAAGATGAGTCGGGAATGATGAAATCCGTTTACCGAAATATCCACGATTTATTTTAGAATTGTCTGATTGACTTCGGACAATATCAAAACTACTCGGAAGTGTGAACGTTCGAAGAAAAAACCCATGTTTTGCATAACCTCGGTAGTACTCCCAAAACTTATTCACTGAAATAACAACTTTAAGCAATGAGTCCTCGTGAGGTGTACTCGTTTTACAATTCCTTTGACTGAAGCTTGCGAAGACATCCACTTCTGCATGAGGCGATTACCCGATTGTGTATATGGTAGATCAAGTCAACTTTGAAAAGAAATCAAAAGGAAGCATTAGTGCGGAACATCTATTCGGCCATATTCAAGAGTTAAAACGCAATATCAATAAATTGCTTACACTGGGCTTGACAAACTCGCCATCTTTTGTAACTCTTGAAGGCGGATTATGCTTTCCTGACTGGGCAGACGTCCCAGCGGAAGCACACAGGGCGTGTTTCGTATCAGCTCGAAAAGCAACCCGACCAGGTTTGGAAATCTGCACCTCAACCACTCGACCCACGCCATGAGACTGATGTTCTTCCCGTCGCTGAGTTTCACGTGGTTTTGATGATGTCGCCGTTATGGCTGTCTTCTTTTGCTGTATTCCTTTGGTTGTGGATGCGCCTTTCTCAGAAACCGCTGTCTTTCTTTTGTCACTGGTATCTTGACAGTCATTCTCATCGTCGTCATCGTCCGCATGAACCAGGCGCCGTCGACGCTTAGTTCGGGGTTTCTGAGCTGAATGATGTTCGGTGAGGTCCAATAAACGAGTGATGGACAAGTCGAGAATCGGTTTCGCGTTCAGCTGCGCCTGTCGTTTGGGGAGCACGCGTCTCTCAGAATTATGATCCAGATTCACATCTGGTTGATGCGCAACGGGACTATTAGGATCAACCTCGGTTTTCTCTCGAGATTCCGGTTGCTTATTAGGCACATCAACCGGTGGCTCAGTTGGAGATGGAGCGGAGTGAATATGTTCAACTGGAAGATGAACTGAAAAACGAGTGCATTTTCCAAAAACCATCCATAGAATAAATGCACACAACAAACAAAACGACCTAAAAAAATATAAAATCAAGAAAGAAAGAGCTGGATAATGGGAGAATGACGTGAGAAAGCTGGTGTTCACAACTTTGGGTCATTTCACTACGAATGGCACGCTGCGTGCAGTGGTCCTAAATACAGAAAACGAAAAACAGTTTTCCGGGCCTACTTGGTTTTATAATTAGTAGTGTATGCGGTGAAAGCCTTTGGCGACCACAAACTTTGGACTAGATTCAGCGACTGAATAATAAAAATATCGCCTCTTTATGTGGTTCCCGGTAACTTCACCGCTGATGATGACCAACCAACATGAAATATGAAAAAAGGAAAAACTACTTTTTCAAGAATTCTCTGTTTGATACTTATCGGCGTCGTTTTGGCTAACGGAATAGTTTAAAAATTCAAGACATTTTTCTCTCATGAATAATAAACACCATAACGTGTGCATGTATAGGCAGCATTATAGTTGGTGTCCGGAAAGAAAGTTAAATTGATTACCTGCGGAATGATCGGATGTCGGTTCGGGATCCATCAGGGATAACGAAGGTCTAGGTTCCAGCGGAGAAAGAACGATCGAAACGGCGGATCCTTCCCGTCGTGGAACCTCGGGTGATAGCTAAACACGCACATACAAAGGACAAATGTGACCACAGAGAGGGAATGAAAGGCCCAAAAACGAAATTTCATTCAACTTTACAAAATATACTCAGACTTGAAAAAATAAAAATCTGTATTGGGTTTACACAGGTTTTCAGTCAAGTGATGCGTTGACATAGCAAGAACAATACCATATAAAACTATATAAAACAAAAGCACAACTAAGCGAGTGAAAGGAGTGAATCATCAGCTGGTTCAGTTCATAAGATAGAGGCCATGGTTGGTTGATTTCATTTGCTTCTGTCCCAAACACGCCACATGTCACCTCGGAGTTCTAACGGTAATTGTCCCCATCACGATGACCTGAATATTATGATTGAGTTCTACCACCGGTGCCAGAGATCTAGCCTGAAAACCGACGGTACTTTAGGCTAGGACCAGGATAATCTCAGAGGCTACAGTCTCAGGTACAGTTACTTTCCGGGGGCAAAGCTGCGACGACTCCTAATCGGACTCACTCGGATGTGAATAGTTTGTCGATGGGGATCATCCGAAGTTTGTTTTGGTGATGAATAAGCGATGATCAGAACAGAGCCACCGGTTGTTCCCCGTTTTCCGCACCATATGAATCTGGTCCGAGAGGACCTCCCAGATGCGCCTCGATAGACGACAGCCGACCTACTATAGCATTCCTATCTTCTGCTAAAATTACGATTTCAGCTCGACTCACTTTGTGTAAAAGGTCGACTAGTTTCAGGTAAAATATATCTTCGACTGCATCTGGGCTGCACTCCATGGGAGTGCACTTCGACCGGACAAATAAACTGCATCTATTGGGCCGAAGGTTGCTTACTTTGCACCACCCTCTGAGTCTCAGTGTGCACAACCTACCGTCAATAGGGAACCAATCTAGGAGTGCTGGTTCATGCCAATGTCAGCAAGAAAGGAAACCGCGGACACAGGGTCCCAGATAGGAGCAAGTGGAAATTCGTGAACTGGTTTGATGGGAATGTCGGTCGGATTATGCAGGTTGAGTTTTGAATGCGAGTTTCTTAAATATAACACACATCGATGAGTAGGATCTTGAGCACACGAGCTAGAAACGCCTACGCAGCTAAGCAGCAGGATTCAAAATGCATCAGCCTATGTTCAACCTCTTCATACGAAGGCTGTCTCTGAACCAATTGAAGTGCGCGAAATACCAGTATGGTCATTTGGTCACAACTCCGTAATTTTCTAGTTATCTTGTTCCCCTTCCACAAGCTAACGAAAGAAATTAAAAAAGTCAAACCTTTAAAATGTTGGTTAACTTCTGGAAGAAAATAAGAGCAAAAAAATCCAAAAATAGGTGCAAAATAACTGATGACCACTTTGAAACCAACGCATTTGAAATAGCCTGGAACAGAAAGTAGACCGCCTTGCCGATTTAGTCATTAGGTTTGGCGAAAGGGGCTCTAATCTACTTTCAAATTTCAATCGGTCAGACAAATCGCATTCGGCAGTAACACGAATCCCAGTGTAAAAATATCTTCAGTTCACATCTAGCGTTACATAGCTGATCATGAATCGTGGGAAGCTCTTATCCGCCCTACGACGTGGACCAATTTTCGCGCACGAGAAAATCAAAATAACCGGGAGATAGGTAACGAGAAAATGTAACCGATACGAATTGACTGTCAATGCCGACTTCGAAAGAAACATTTAAACAAAGAGAAAGACGCCCTACGATATCAAAACGTACACACTGGCGATTGCTCTGGTCAGTTTAGAATCAGTGCACCAGAAAAGAAAAAATACAGGTCTAGACAAATTTGGTGGCCTATGTTCTGAGGAGGTAACAGATGTTACACGAGGGTAATGGCAACTGATGGACGGAAATGGCTAATAAGTAGATCCCTTATTGATGAGAAAGGCTTAAGTTGGATGACCCTGAGGGCTCTTCCTACTTCTGACAGAGCTTGTGCAAACAACTGCAACACCTTAATGTAATGTGGAAAATGAACAGAAGCAAAACTACTCAAATTCGCCAGTTCGGACGAGTAAGAAATTGCAAAGCATTGAGTATACCTAAGTGGATTTTTCTATTTAATTGAACCAACAACAATGACTCCAGAGGAATTCTTAACCCAAGGACCAGGATACCACCCTGACGTTTATACAAACAGACAACAGTCGAACCAAATAAGCCCAGTTATGGTAGAAGGAAACAACTACTCACCTGAATAGGAAACGCCGGCTGTGGTGCAACCAGCGAGTAGGGATTGTTTGATGGTGAGGGCGCTGCAGGGGTACCCACTGGTGACAGTGGGTTGGTAAGGCGCAAAGAGATATCTGGGGCTAATGGGGATGGTGATTGCGAAGTGGGATGAATCGTAGGACGGGATGTGGTTACAGTGTTAGAGGGTTCTGGGGATTGATTTGACATCGAACAAACAGTAGCCAGTTGAGGATCAGGAGCACGAGTTACAGGTCGTTGACGCCTTGGAGGTAGGATAGGTGAAGGTTCAATCCGCGAAGTATCACGCAACCTGAGCGAAATCAAACAGGGAGCAGAATCTGAGATCAAATACATCAGATAGTAACACGGACTAATTTTACTTGAGGCCGTATCAAACTCCA